TAGATACACCTAATCTAGATATACTTAAGAAGTATAATATTTTGTGATTTTTTTTTTTAAAATTCACCAAATACAAAAAAATATATATATAAATACAAATATTCAATACATTATCTTATTTTGTTGTATTTAATGAATTTTTTAAAAAGTTTTTTGTACAAATTTTATACTTTTTAAATATATCTAAATTAAATTGATCTAATCTAAATATAATGGTGGAAAAAAATGAAAATTATATTCATATATAAAAATTTATACAAAAAATATCATAAAAATATTATAATAGTGTTTGAAAAAATATTATCATGAAAATGTTATTATGATATTGTTGTAAATACAAATCATATTTATAGGTGTTTTGTTTTAAAATGAAATGTCAATATTAAGTTATATCATTGTGTTTAAAAATTCTATATAAAATTTATATTTATATATCATCATTTATTATAGAATCAATTACTGAAGTCATAAACAACTATCTGTTATGGGTTACATTTTCTTATTTTTGAAAAAAAAAAATTCAACTATAATCACTACAACAAAACGCACTTTTGGCAACTAAATTTGGCAATTAAAAAAAAATTAGTCGCCAAAACTTGTGAAATTGGCGACCAAATTTTTTTTAGTTGGCAAAAGTACAATATTTAGCTACTAATTTTTTTTAGTCGGGAAATATTGATTATTAGTGACTAAAAAAATTTAGTCGCTAAAAATGGTACAATTGGCGACTAAAAAATATTTTAGTCACTATATATATAGTTTTGGCTACTAAAATTTTTTTGTCGGCAAATGAAAAACAAAAATTTATTTCAACAATGATTCATCCCACTAAAAACACCACCACTAATAGCACTAATGCATTAAAAAGTAAAAAAAAAAAAAAAACACAACTCCAAGACCAAACACATCATCATAATGCGGACCCACTGCCACCTAATTAGTGGGAGCACTAATTAGTGCTCCCAAGCATTTTTCAATTTATTTTCAAACTTTTGGCGACCAAAAGTTTGGTCTCCAAAAATTTATTTTCAGCGACTAAAAAATGTTTTAGTCACTGTATAGCTAGCTTTGGTTGCTAAAATTTTTTTGTTGCCGAATAAAAAATAAAAATTTACTTTTTATCTTTGGCGACCAAAAATTTGGTTGCAAAAAAAATATTTTTAGCGACTAAAAAATATTTTAATTGCCACAGAATTAAAATATTTGGAGTGATTTATAAAATTAATTAGCGACCAAATTATTTAGTTGCCAAATTATTACTTTTAGTGACTAAAATAATATTTAGTCGTTGTTAATTAAGATTTTGGGTACTAAAAAAATTTTTAGTCGGCATTGATCAAACTTTTGTCCCTTAATTAGACCACTCGGTCAGTCCTCTCCCAGTTCACTCTCTCATCATCCCTCTTCTCTCTCTCTCTCTCTGTCTCTCTTTCTCTCACTCCATCGCAGGCTACCCTCCTGCCAGCCACCGTCCACCACTGTCGCACACGAGCACCCACCTCCTCACCGGCGACGGTACAACCCACCTCCCCACCAGCGACGGTACCACCCATCTCCCCACCAGCGACGGACAACAGTAGCTACTCTGATTTGTGTCTCCTCCAGCGCACACCAGGTATTTCCGGCCTCTTCCTCTGTCTCTCTCTCTCTCTCTCTCTATATATATATATATATATCTTCACCCAATTTCTAGGGTTTTATAACAAAGGATTTGTTTTTTTTTTTTGGTTTTTCTGGTTATAAATCAGAGGGTTGGAGCTTCTCTTCTATCTATTTCTCGCAAGAGCAGCGTTTTTTCTCTCTATTTCTCACTCGCAACAACCATTGGAGCACACACTGTATTTCCCCTTCTTCTTCCCCTTCCTCTCTCTCTCTCTCTCACACACACACACACACACACACACACAACCATTGGAGCACGCCCTGTTAAATCCAATTCATTATTCTATTGTCCTATATAATGATTCTTAATCATGCTTCCATTCAATTCTAATTTTCTTTTAATCAATTAGTTTGTGTGTGATGATGTTGCTATTGTTGTTGTTGGTAGTTTATTTGTTGCTGTTGTTTGGGCTATGCTTTTTATTGTTGTTGTTTTCCACCCTCTTGCTCACCATGTGTTTGACAAAATGTTGAAACGAAATTGGTGAAGTTGAATTGACAATTTGTTTGCCTTTTTATAATTGAAATTGAAATTGAATGTTGTGGAAAGTGAAATTTCAAAGTCATTGAACCTTCCTTGCATTCTTCTGGGCTGACCCACTAGTTGACTTGGAAATTAAGACCATAAACAAGAGTATGTTTGATGAGTTAATAAAGCCTCATTTTAATTCATTAGTACCCCCTCACACAATCACACACACACATATAGATATACGCATTTAATTCTTGTTGAACTGTATTGTTTATGTGAATCACATACATGTTTATATTTGGGTTCAATCTCTTTTTGTCAGTAAAGTCTGTTGCTGTTTAAAAATTTGCATAATTTTATTTTTATTAAATTTTAGAATTTAAATGAACATAATTCCTGGTTCTAAAGGAAAAGTTTCTTGTAAATTTTAATGGTTTTAAGTAAATATTTGAAATTACTTCAACTGATATTCATTAGGAACAGATTTGAATAAATTCAAGTGTCAGTAGGATATAATTTGGATTTCATATTTATGGTTAATTCTGAACTCAATTTACATTTTCTCTCATCACTCTCTCTCATTTTAAGATTTACAGTTAATTCTGGAATTCAATAATTTGGAGTTATTTATGTATTAGTGTCTATTCTTTTTTCCATGAGTAACTTCTGGTAATAAATGTGAGGGGAAAAAGGCTGTCATAAACAGGACATGGCAATATATATAACAAATATAAGATGAAAATTTTCTTGTATGTGTCTTGTGTGTGTTAAAGCAACCTTGTTGGCTTGCCCTGTGTAGAAACTGAAAAGACACATCAAAGGAAAGTATTATCTTAAAGTAGTATTCATATTTACAAGTGACTGTGAAAAGCCAATACACTTGAATTGAATTAATTATACATCAAGTGGAAGTATTATCTTAAAACTACATTCATAACTTGAGGATAGCAAGACTCTTGTAGTTGTGAAATAAAAGGAGACTTGCATTATTTAAATAAAAGACTCTTATGATCTATTTGTGGTTATAAAATAGAGTATTCAGGTGAAAGGTAATAATCTCATAACTAATGATCTCCAACTTGGTGGCTTGGTTATAAAACAGATGCATTGACCATTACTTGTAACAGCAAAGCAAGAACATCCACACTAGTAGTGAAAGTATTTTATATTTTGTTTTGTAAAAGCTTGAAGCACAGAACACATTGAAGAAGCATTCAAGGAGTTCACAACAAGAGAAGACGTTGCAATAGTGATGATCAGCCAATATGTAAGTTTTTGTTCTACTCTGTCATAATTTTGATTGATTTTAATGCTCTTTTGTGGTTATGACCTGAATGACGAGTTCAACATACATGAATGGCAATACAAGTGCAATTTCTGGAAATTAGAAATGAGTCATTTTAAAGATGAAATAAGAGGATTTTAGCTAATATGATTTCCTGATGTTACATTGGTTGTATGTGACTGATTTTTACTGCAACAGCTTTTGATAAAAATTGTATGACGATGAATCGCTATTTTTTCCAAGGACCCAAAATGTATTGAATTTAGTAGATGTATGATTTTTGTCTTATTTGTTAAAGTTTCAGTTTGAATTTCATGGTTGATTTGATTGTTTTGGTTTGTGGAATTAATGGGGAATGAATAGAAATTGTAATTTGGGTAAAAAATGAATAAGATCTGGGCTGTTCTATACACGAGTTCAAAGTCTGTCATTAACAGCGAGATGAGTAGCAAACTATTAAATATCAAAACTTTAGTGATTGAAATATGCACTTGAGTGTAGAGATTACATAGTAGCAAACTCTTTGACTCTTTGCAATGATCAGTAAGCAAACTTCGTGGCTGTTGAGTGATGTTTGTGGACTATTTGCAGACCATGTTCAAGATTTAAACATTTTCTGTAAGTTTACCTTGCTTGTTCAAGTGGTGGATTATGTGCAAGGACTTGCCCTGGGGTTGCCACTGAGGCTTGGCAAATACAATATATATATATATATATATATTTTATAGAGAAAGTAGATATTAAATACGCTAATGCATTTGACAAATGTTAAAAAGTTGATTTTTTTTTTTTTTGTGAGCTGTAAAGTTGAGTGAAAATTTTTATTTTCTCCCTTTTGTCAGCTAAAGTAGCCAAACGGCCAAACCTTTTTTTTCTTCCTAATCAACACTAAAGAAATATAGAGGACAGCTTGGCCCTAAGGTAAAGGCATCCTGGTGGCAGCATGGGTTCAAGTTATGGTAACAATATATTTTGTGGTCTATTTTTCTTTTCTTACACCCCATTTTAACAAGGGTCTTTTGCACCTAGTCACCGTTTTGCTAAGAAATGAAATTGTGACCGAGTTACCTTAGGCAAAGCAGCCATGGGTGTGGCAACAGACCCATTTCTTGTTTTATAATTTTTCTTTTTGTTGCTCAAAGATATATTTTAGGAACTTCTGTAATTGTTTGGATACAGGAGGATATTAAACTTATGAAGGTCATGGGAATGGATGCCTACAGATTCTCAATTGCATTGTTTGTACTCATGGTAAACATGTCCTCATTTTCTTCATTTTTCTCAATACTTGAGTGTTTATATCAAATTAATTATATGAATTTGTGACTCTACTCTTGGTTGTCAAACATTATTTGGAAATTACTAAAAAAATTTGTGGATAAATTACTTTGGCCGTCAAGGTTTGAGTCTACTTGCATTTCTAGTGCTTACAGTTGATGAAATGACACTTTCTAGCTTATAAAACTTTGTTTGGACTTTGGTTCAATGCTTTTATCAATGGTGCAGCATTGCACATACAAGAAAAATATGCATGTGATCCTCACGTCATGTACATTTACTTAATTGATCATTTCAACTGTTATAGATGTAGTGATCAAACCAGTCTCAAGTTAGATTCTAGATGTAGAATTAAGTAAATTTATGGGAGTGTGATAGTCTTAGGTCAATGATGAGGTTGGTGAAGAGATGGGTAGTTAGCGTGCCTTAAACTTAAAAAAAAAAAACACATAGGACCTATGGCAAAACACCTTAATTGGCATGCCTTAAACTTACCCCAAAAAGGGCGATAAGGGGGCGAATATGGGAAACTGCCCCGAATCACCGTACGGATGTCACGACCACCTTCCCCGTGACAAATAGAACCTGTCACAACAAACGGAATGTCATTAGCACACGCAGTTTGGGAGTTAGAGCCGAAAACTCATTAAACTTAACCGAAAAAGGGCGATAAGGGGGCAAAAATACGAAACAACCCCCGAACCACCGTACGGATGTCACAGACACCTTCCCTGTGATGAATAGGACCTATGACAATAGAAGGAATGTAATTAGCATGTGTAGGTTGGGAGTTAGAGCCGAAAACGCTTTAAACTTAATCAAAAAAGGGCATTAAGGGGGCGAAAATGCGAAACGGCCCCCGAACCACTGTACGGATGTCACGGCCAACTTTCCCATGACAAATAGGAAAGTAATTAGCACACGTAGTTTGGGTGCTAGAGTAAAAAACGCATTAAACTTAACCGAAAAAGGGCGTTAAGGAGGCGAAAATGCGAAATAGCCCCTGAACCACCGTACGGATGTCACGACCACCTTCCCTGTGATGAATAGGACCTGTGACAACAGACGAAATGTAATTAGCATGTGTGGGTTGGGAGTTAGAGTCGAAAACGCCTTAAACTTAACCGAAAAAGGGCGTTAAGGGGGCGAAAATGCGAAATAGCCCCCGAACCACCGTACGATGTCACGGCAACCTTCCTTGTGATGAATAGGACCTGTGACAACAGACATAATGTAATTAGCATGTGTTGGTCGGGAGTTAGAGTCGAAAATGCCTTAAACTTAATCGAAAAAGGGTGTTAAGGGGGCGAAAATGCGAAACACTCCCTGAACCACTATACGGATGTCATGGCCACCTTCCCCGTCACAAATAGGACCTGTGACAACAGACGAAATATAATTAGCACACGTAGTTTGGGAGTTAGAGCCGAAAGTGCATTAAACTTAACCGAAAAAGGGTGTTAAGGGGGCGAAAATGCGAATCAACCCCCGAACCACTGTACGGATGTCACGGCCACCTTTCCCGTGACAAATAGGATTTGTGACAATAGACGGAATGTAATTAGCACGTGTAGGTTGGGAGTTAGAGCCGAAAATGCCTTAAACTTAACCGAAAAAGGTTGTTAAGGGGGCAAAAATGCGAAACAGCCCCCGAACCAGTGTCCCGATGTCACGGCCACCTTCCCCGTGGTGAATAGGACCCGTGACAACAAACGGAATGTAATTAGCATGTTTAGGTTGGGAGTTAGAGCCGAAAACGCCTTAAACTTAACCGAAAAAGGACGTTAAGGGGGGCGAAAATGCGAAACAACCCCCGAACCACCGTACGGATGTCACGGCCACCTTCCCTGTGATGAATAGGACCCATGACAATAGATGGAATGTAATTAGCATGTATTGGTTGGGAGTTAGTGTTGAAAACGCCTTAAATTTAATCGAAAAAGGGTGTTAAGGAGACGAAAATGCGAAACAGCCCCGAACCATTTCACTGCTCCACTTAATTGCAATTTCTCCAATCACATTCCATTGTACCAAAGAAAAAAAATTAATTACTTGGGTTGCAACTTGTTAATTTATACCACAATACAAATGGATTAATTAAAATGGCAATGAATTTTATTTTTTCCTTTTTATTCCCTTTCAACAGGTCAATTCAAATGTTTCAAATGATTGGCCACAAATAGATATTAATGTTTATAATAAATACCATTTATTTGAAAATATTTTTTAAAGTATACACTGAAGTGATATTTCCCCTAGTTTATTTGGGGAAAAAAATTAGTTTGTCTTAAGTTACAAATTGTAAATTTTTTATTTTATTTGAAAATATTAAATATGTATTGATAAAAGAACCCATCTGTTTTGTCATTATTATATCTTTTGAAAGAATCTTGAATATTTGCCTAGCACAAAGAAAAAAAAAAGGTTGTTTAAGAACTTATTTAACTAAATAGGTCCAATTTTTTTTAATGAAAAGTTACAACAAACAAATAATTTAAAATTTATAATATGAAAAACTAACTTATAAATGATATCGAACGAAACCAAAGTGGTTGAGAGAGATGCAAAAAATCTATATATATGATTAATATATAGTCTATAATATTAATGTATGGGAACTAATTATAGAAAGAAAGTGATTTGTAAATAGAAAATTTATGCAAAAGGATCTATAAAATAATGTAGTAATGACATTTTAAAAATTATAAATCACTTTAAAAGGTTTTTTAATTTAAAATGAATGGACATAAGTGTGCCATGTTATCTGGTACGAATTTTGTATAACAAATTTTATGTTTGTATAGCGTTACTCATTATAGAATCAATTACTGAGATCATAAACAACTATTTGTTATTGGTTATCTTTTCTTGTGTTTGATATAAGTATTTCATGTGTCTCATAATTTCACCCCAAAAAAAAAAAAAAATTCAGCTATAATATAATTACTTTTTCACAGTTCCACTTAATTGCAATTTCTCCAAAATATTGAACCTACAAAATATTTGAAAAAACTTAAATTCATAAATGGATGCATTGCAAACTATAGTGAAACTCATGACACATTAATTATAGGAAAACAAAATCAACAAAACAAAACAATTTTCCAAAGTCGAAACCCAAAAGCATAAATCAAATTGATATCACAACATAGATAATTTGTATCTTTATTGTAGCTTTATAACATATATGGATGCATTGCAAATTTCATATCAGAAATTAATCAGGCAGTTGAATAGTTTATTATTTTTTAAATTGTAAAAATAGTGACATGACTATCAACAAATATTGCCCACTACAGATTCATAATATATAGAGGGTTAGAGATATAGCTTTCTATTCTACAATGTCACATAATAAGAAATAATTCACTTCTGTAAAAATTTGAAAATAGATATATAAATAAAGACACAGAAAAATCAGTACCCACTTTGTTTATATTCCAATGAATTAAGAAGAAAAACACATACATAAGCATACTTATATATACATAAAAAGAGAGTGAAAGTATAAAATGATACTTTTGTTTCAAATTAGATCTTCTTAATGTTGTTGGTGATGAAATAGAATTAACAAAACCAACTGCAAGTATGGTATTTTAAAAGTTAGTCATCATATTTTACTATTTTTTCAAGCTAAAAATTCAATGCTAATGCATAGGATTATAATTGATTGTAAAATATTTATAATATTAAGAATGTCACTTAAAATACAAAAGAAAAAAAAAATCACACTCATTCTTCTCTCACATGTTTTACTTTGTCATCCATTTAACCATGATAGTTAGAGAACAGAATCGTTTATTTTCATTGATTGTAAAATATTTATAATATTAAGATTGACATGGTGGGTGGCAGAGATGGGAAATAAAAAATTCAAAAAAGATTAATAGTTCTAATTAAATATCAAGATATCATAGTTTATAATACTAATGTCAGAGAACTAATTATAAAATAAATTACCGAGGCCATACACAGCTGTCTTACAGGTTTTGCTGCATCTCTTCCTTCCCCAATAGTGTTTGTGTTTAGAATATTTTATGCTATTGAGTTGTGAGAAGTCTTTGAGCATAACAGTGGCCTAGTTAGTACCTGGTTGTTTTGTATGGTAGTGTGGCCAACATTTTACACTTTGTTTGAATTGAGTTATTTGGAGAGGAATGGAAAAAAAATCGATTGCCCACTATCTGTGTTGACAATCTAGCACAAAAACTAATTGTGTGTTTTGTCTAATGGTGTGGCCAACAACTTACTCTTTCTTTGAATTGAGTTATTTGGAGAGGAAAGGGGAAAAAAAAAAAATCAATGTCTCACTATCCGTGTGGACAATATGGCACAAAAATCAATTGTGTGTTTTGTTTAGTAATGTGGCCAACAGCTTACACTTTGTTTGAAGTGAGTTATTTGGAGAGGTAGGGAAAAAAAATCGATTTCTCACTATCCATGTTGACAATCTAGCACAAAAATCAATTGTGTTTTGTCTAATAGTGTGGCCAACAACTTACACTTTGTTTGGATTGAGTTATTTGGAGAGGAGGAAAGGAAAAAATTGATTTCTCACTATCCGTGTTGACAATTTAGCACAAAAACCAATTGTGTGTTTTGTCTAGTATAATGTGGCCAACAACTTACCCTTTGTTTGAATTGAGTTATTTGGAGAGAAGGAAAAAAATCAATTTCTCACTATCCACGTTGACAATCTAACACAAAAAACCAATTGTGTGCCGTTTGCGAAAACCAGCCCATTGTTTTTTAACTCTTTAACCACTTCCCTGGTAAGTGAAATTAAAAAATTTATTAAATTTTCTTTTATAAAGTCTAGATGGAGAATATTGCATATACTAAATTACTAGATGGAGAATAGTGTTACCTCTCTTCTTTTTGTCCACATCTTCAATTGGTAGTCACAATTATTAGTGCATTGTGACCTCTATCCAACTACACCCAACATCTTTCTCCAAACCTTCTTCTTTTTCCTTTTTTTTTTTTTAATCGGCTCCCTTAATTGCCTGGCATGATCCCCTCCATCAACATTTCTTTGTACACACAAGGACAAAAGAATTTTTTTAAAAAAAAGTTCTAAGTTTCTATGTTTATCATAATTGTCAGCCACAGTATGCAGTGCCTTTTTTTTTTTATTAGCAAAATAAAACTTTATTGATGTGAATAGAAAAATACATGCAAAAATACATTAACAAAGCAGGGAAGTGCATTGAGCATCACAGTATGCAGTGCCCATGGGTTTAAATGGAAGGCAAGAACAAATTTCGTATATGGACTGGACAATCTGCTTTACAAATTATTTGCATTTACATGTCTTCATGGCCTGTAAATTTCATCGATGAGCAGATCTTCTTCGACTTGCTTTGCATGCATCAAATCAAGGCTGGTGTATGCTATTGGAATCACAAATTGCAATTTAACATTACTTGAAAAGTCGCACTTCAGAACATTTCATGTGTCTGGGTATAATGCTGATGATCATTACATATGTTCAATGTACTGACTGTTTGGATTGAAAGACTAAATAGTAGGGACTTATCATGACGAATACAACTCATACATTCATACATTTGTTGAGCAGCCCATAATGTGGCAATGTTATAGATTTAATAAGCACATTGGCAAAAAGTTTTAGGCCTGTTATGACACCACCAAGCATAGGATTGCAGTGTTGTTTTTCTTTTTTTAATAGCATAAGAAATGATACATAT